CTTCCTCACAGGAAGAGTGCAAGCGTGGGGAGGATGTACAGCAAACATCCTGCATGTGTCACTCTAGAGACTCACATTAGGCTGCAGGTAGAAACTTGGAGTGATTACAGTAATTAATCCAAGTGCTCTGTGTGTGAACGTGTGATCGTTAAGCGTTTTATGCAAGTGGTGTGTGTCTGCCTGCAGATACCCCATGAAATTATGGAAACAAGAACATTTTGAAAACAAAGAGACAGCAAATAAAGACACATGTAAGCGCCATCAAGGGAGCTGTTGGACGAGACACAAACAGGGGAGCCGGAGTCTGGTAGTCCGGGCTTTTTAGAAGAATGCCAACAGTGCAGCTCTGTGAGAAATGGCTGTCAAAGATGCCCGATTCATTCTGGACACAAACGGAGAATAGAGAGCATTGTGTTCATGCTTTGATTTTACAACATATCCTTGTGTGACGGTAAAATGTCAACCTTCAATAAATCATCATGAAAAAAATATTTGTTTTAATCTCATATCTTCATCCACTATGTTTGTACTTGTAAATATGACACCAATATATATTATGGGGCAAAAAATAAGAGGCTAAAGTCTGATTAAATACTTGGACTGCCTGAAGATCCTTTTTTGTTGTGACAATAAAACTTCAAACATTAGCTGATCTCTATTTTTATGCTTTACCTATCTGTTTTTTTAAAGCCTTATTAAAAATGCACTTTTCAAGAAGATTGGTCCTAAGAAAATCCACTAGATATAAAGCTATTTTTCCTCAGAACTCCTCAAGAAGCTACAGTTCTTACATTTGCTCTGAAGTAAAGTTTTAATCCATCTAAACATATCTCTCATTTTAGCTCTGGTGTAGTCTACATCAATTTCTTTATCTCTGTCTGGCTGTGAAGCTGCTATATGTCCCTTTTCTTTTCTTTTCTTTTTTTCTTTTCCTTTTTGGATTGTTTATACCAGCTCATCTTTAGATATCCTGCAGTAAAAAAAGTCTTAATGAGAGCCATTACTGTATTACCAAATACAGATTTATTATTGCATTGTGTTGCCATAATAAAATAGAACTGAGTATGGGGAGTTATTGTTTTCTAAAAAAGACAGTGACAAAAATATGACCGTTTTCATATGTCATGTTTTCTTTAATAATAAAAAGCTTTATGCTGATACTAAAACTGTCTGATTAGCTGGTAGTTTATTTTTTTGTTTTTTTAAATGTCCCAAGATCTTGAATCTCTAATGATGAAAAATGTATCCCATGGCTTTACAAAGCTGCTCACAAAGATGAAACAACAAGTTGTTTTTTTTTTTTTTAAAGAAACTGGAGGGAAGTAAAAATAACTAGAGCTTTGTGAGAGTTCTGAGATCAGTCGGGGGCAAAATAAACACAAACAGACTTGGCCAGAGTATATGCATGGATGTGGTTTCACTGCTTGGGCGTGTGGAATGAATAAACCAAATGCTCAGTGTCAATCATACAAAAAAGAAAAACCTGGCTTCTCAGTAAATGTGGTTTTCAAATTAAATGAGCTAAAACAAGACACACAAAGGTGATATCACTACAGATTTACTTGAAATTATATTTCTGCAACCCTTCATTTTCTAACCATTTGTGTTTAGATGTACCTTGGGATAGCTGTAATAAGATATAGGTTGAGGTGGATGAACACATCCTAGAGGATGTGTATTATATTAAAGTTCATGACAGTACAATTAAAAAAAGACTAAACAAGTATGACTTCTATGGAAGGGTTTCCAAGAGAAAGCATATTCCCTTTATGAAGAGCATTGTAGCAGAGCTTAGATTTGCAAAGTTACATCTAAGAAAATCACAAGAACAATGTCCTTTGAACAGACAAGAATAAAATAGAGATGTTTGGCCATAATTCACATCACAACGATCCCAAGAATGCCAGCAAATCTACACAAGACGTCTAATTACATTGATGGAAAAGATAACACAGATGCAAATACATTACCTTAAAAATATAAAGCTGCGATTGCACTTTTCTTGTATAGACACATCTTTTCTATGAGACAGGATTGTCTGTACCCACGTCATCTGAAGCATTGTTAAGATAAAATGATAAAACTTTGGCTTTAAACTGAAGCACGTTTGCCAAAAAAAAAACTTGAGTAAGTGCATCTCTAGCAATAATCCAAACCTGGCTGGTAGGAAATCTATCAACCATTCATCTGCTCATTTGAAAATATGTCAAACTGGGCAACTTAGTTTATTTTGTACTCACATAACATCTTTTACATTCAGACTTTTTAACTATGACTCTTCAACAGTTAAAGCTTTGACAGTTACACGCATGTTTTTGGAAATGCTTGATGAAAACTTAGTGAGCTACTACAGTGTTGTTAAGATGTGGCATCTGAGGGAAATGTGGAAAAGCTCTTTAAGATTGTTCAGGCTTTAGAGTGTGTCCATTAATCCACCAAGTTCGTCTGAGTACATCCTAACTTAATTTGGATAAAAGCTAAGTATAAATATTTGAAAATAGATGTATAAAGAAAGAATGTACTGTAGAAAGTGCAATGAAATGCAGGGTATTTGTCCTTTTTGTGTCATCATACACTCCAAAAATAAATAAATAAATAAAATAAAATAAATCTGTGCCCTCTCTTAAGATGTTGGAACCTGTAAACCACAAAAATAAATTAAATATTTTACTGGACGGTTTCACCCAGGCAATTAAAATCTCAAAAAAAGGCGTCCCCTTCATGTATTTGATCTCTAACAGTTTGTATCTAGCTCTGCTGTATTAAGTCTAACCTGCACAGTTGAGGCACTTTACAGGATCTTTTAGAAGTTTTCCAAATTATCTTGGAAATCTTTCCATTGGCCAATGGAAGGATTGATTTCCTGTGTTCTTTTCCAATAATAGATCCAAGTGAATAAATGAGACTGCATTTAAACCTTACCCACCCAGAAAAAAAGCAGTACTTAATGTTTTCTCCAGGCAAAACTGTTTTATTGTTTTATTTGCTGTTTTGCATTTAGTAGAACATCTTTAACCCTAATCAAGGTCCTAATTCTGTAAAATGTTTTTACAGGACCTTTATGTAGTCCTTAAAAACCAAGTATATCCTCACTGCTTCCCTAGAAATAAAGAATATAAGCCAGGTGCTGCTGATCAAATGCCTAAACTGATAATCAGCAAGTGTGACTGCCTCTAATAGAAAGAACACTTTGGAAATTTGCCAGTCTGGAGTATTCGGGAGTGTGTTAGCACAGTGCTATAATCATCACAGGGGTGGATGCCTCAGTAAATTCATGTTCAGTGTCAAATATACAAAAAATAAAACAAAAAAACAAAAACAAAACAAAAGAGCTGCACCTCAAACTCTGTAGGCCTTTAGAAAAAGACTGACCAAGTATGACTATGAAAAGAACATGGTAGCATGCTTAGGTTTGCAAACTTGCATCTGATCAAACCACAAGACTGCAGTGGTCCAGTCAAAGTCCAGATCTCAATAGCTGTGCATGAACAAATGCGCACAAACCCCAAACAACAGAAGCAACATTGTAAAGAGGAGTGGGCCAAAATTCCTCCATCATGACGTGAGACACTGATAAAGTCACACAGAAAAAAAGTCCTACAAGGTTAAATTTCTTGAATTCCAAACCATATTGGCATAAACAGTATAAGCTTGATATCTGCACAGTTTTGTTAATTTATTTTTGATGATTTCAGGGATGGTTTGATGGTTGGAGTTTTCTCTGTATTATTTGGGCGTCTTTACCTTTACTATAAAGCACCTTTGTGGGAACCGCTGTTGTGATTTACCCCTGTATAAATAAAAGTGAATCAATATACCACCATCTGCATACAGAAACACCTTCACTGACAGCAGTAGCCTGATGTACAAAAGACCTAACCTAAACATATCTCCTTCTTTGGTCCTGTGTGTTCATTTAAAGAAGGTTGTGGAAGAGTTTTTACCAAATCAACCCTGTCATGATATAAATGGTAGGCTGGTACGTATATAGGACGTCTAGTATAAGTCTCATTCATCCAATCACACACACGCACGCAGCACTTTTCTAGCACTCTCAAGAACCTTCATATGGATGCATCAGGGGAAACTAAGTTCTATCTTAGTTTTATCAACTAAGATCTATTCACAGCCCAACATAAACTGAAAAAGACAAGCTGCATCAGTGTGAATGTGTGCAAATGACTGATTGTGTGTGAATGACTATGAGGTAGGTTAGAGATGGAAACAGCCTATTGTGGAAGTAGTTGCAGACATAAAGATGACTCATACCATCAGAGAGAGGACGAAAGAGGGAAAAGGCCACAAATTTAACAGCAAATATTAAAAATAGTAAATCTGTCTGGTAACAATGACATACAATAGCTCTAATGATGTAGAATTTGCCTAGATCTGCTCTCTTAAGTCTATATAACTAAACTACAGAGTATTTGCTTTCCTCCTAAGGGATTATCTGATTTTACAAGAATTTTAGAAGAACATCATTACCATAAAATACCCACTGCCTAACCTTTTTCATGTTTTCCTACAAAAGCCTCTTGAATTTAAAGGTTTTAAAGGATAAAAAGAAAAAAGCCAACAATTTGTCCATTTCTCACTTGCTGTTGGCTGTTGCACTTTAATAGCTGTCTAGCTTTTTATCTCAAAGATATAGTTCTAGAAAAGTACATCTCTGAGACACACACACACACACACACACATATATATATATATATATATATAT